GAGGACCATCACCTTGCTTTTCTGCACCTATCTGACCCTCCACCTGTGTATCCTTAAAGAGTACATTGCTTCACTGTCTGCTACAGCACACCACACAAGTGTCTCATACTCCCTCTTCTGGGACGTGACATTGCATGTGGCTGTAGCTCACTTCACTGCCAGAGTTCTGCTGTACAGATCACCACTTACTACACGTGTTTCAATGTGCGTGTGTGTGCACGTGCGCTATGACGAACGACGCTCCTGCAAGTGTCCCCATCTCCTGGGACACCCGTGCAATGGTCCACCAGGCCATTACTGCTGGAATTGCTGCTCACAGGGTGTGTATGTGTTCCACTTCTCCAAAGTGGTGCACCCTGGAGCACCCCAACACACGGCAGGCGATAGCCCAGGTGCTGCACAGCACACCCGCGCCATTAATACCGCTTCTGTCCACTTGTCTCCCCGTCTGATGTTACCCCAGCCACCTTTGTTGGATCTGGGCTTGATCAAGCTTTTCTACTCTCTTCACTTTCCATCATTCTTTGAGTTTAGGTTTGGATTTAGGCGTCTTTTTTTTTTTTTTAATAGCATCAGACTAAGTTAGGGAAAAAAAGGCAGTTTAGTACCCTGATTGTAATTAATGATGGATTCTGGATTCATTTACTTGTCCCACCTTTTTCTTTTTGCCTTCTTTTGGGTAAATTTTTCCTTTTTTTTTTTTTTTTTTACAACTGCTTTGGAAATGGTGCACACTATTTCTATTGTTAGGATCACTGTAGAAATGTCAGCCTGCCTGTGTAGAAGCATCTAGTCTGAGTCTTTTCTCTCTTCATTGGTGAGCCTGGTAGATAGCTGTAATCCCAATCAAGAGTATGTACCTACCACTGCTGTTACATACCCTCGTAACCCGTGACTTACTTTCACTCCATGGAATACTCTCATTTTATAACCTATTTGGAGTTCCACTTACTTTCTCTGTTTCTACTTCTAGCTCAGACTTTCCATCTGGGATCCTGTCGCATTCCAACCTGAAGATATCTTGCAGAACTTTTTTTTTTTTTTTTAAAGAATGCTTATCTCATTTTTAAAAAACAGCTTTATTGAGAAAGAATATATACCTCATACAATTTGCCCATTGAAAGTGTACAATTCAACGGCTTTTAGCATGTTCCCAGATGTGTGCAACCACACAATCCACTGTAGAGTATCTTCATTCCCCCCAAAGTAGATTTTCTTTTCAAGTGAGTCTGCTGGTGATAAACTCTCTCGGCTTGTCTGAAACTATCTTGTAAGACATTTTCTCTGGGTATAGAATTTTATGTTGACAGTCTCTTCTCGTCCAGGGAACACTGACAGCAGGAGGTCTCACCCCAATTAGCACTGGCTGTGGTTGAGACATCTGCTGTCTTGCTCCTTAAAAGGTAATAGATCTTTTCTAATTTTAACATCATTTCTTGCTCTTTTAATTCTGCCAAGTTATTGCACTGTGTCTAGGTATGCAGTGGTTTTAAAATACATCCACAAATCCTTCGCCCTCCTTTCCAGAGGCAGAATCTAATTCTCCTTTGAGTGTGGGCTGGAGGTAGTGACTTGCTCCTCACACTAGAATGTGGCAGCGAATCGCTTCCAAGACCAAGTCATAAAAGGCTCTAAACCTTCCACCTGCCTTCTGTCTCAGCTCGCTCACCCTGGGAAAAGCCAGCTGCCACAGGACACAAATACTTGGGCAAGCCTGACGGACAGATCCACGTGGCAAGGACCTGTGCACACGCCACGCCTCTATGAGCCTTCCTGGGAGGACGTCTTGACTGCAACCTCAAAGAGTCCCCAGGCTGGAACTCTTCAGGTGAGCCACTCCTACATTCTGGACCCACAGAAACTGTCCAGCAATAAAGGCATGGAGTTTTGTATGTAATTGGTATACAGCAGTGGAGGATTAATCTAAGGTGTGAAAACATTTTAAGCCAACTTGCTTATTGAGCTGTAACACACATACAAAAAGCATAGGGATCATATGTGTGTGGTTTGATGAACAGTCATAAAGTGAATATACCTAACTAATCACCATCCACATCAAGAGATGGGACATCTCAGTGTTAATTTCTTTTTGTTGCCCTGATTGAGATTTGCTGGCCTTGTTGAATATGTGGATTGGTGATTTTGAAAAGTTCACAGTCATTTAAAAAAAAATATCCTCCACCCCATTTTTGCCTTTTTTTTTTCTCTCCTGGGACTCCAATCACACGTTATGTTGGCTCTTCCTACTCTATCCTCCATCTCTCTTAGCTTCTTGTTTTAGATTATTGGTCTATCTTGCTCCATTCTGGAAAACCTCTCCAGGCCTAGCTTCCTGTACATGAACTGTTTCTTTAGCTCTAATTCACAGATGCAGGGCTTTTAATTGCTATAATTTTTATTTCCAGAACATCACTTTGGTTTTTGGCAAATCGATTCCTATTTTCTAGCCTGTCTTTTAGTTATTGCATCATTTTTAAACATGTAAATCATCTGCCTGGTCATTCTAATGTATGAATCCTTTTCAAGTCTGATTCTACCACGTTCCTGCCTATGTCCTTGGCTCCTGGTGCCTTGTTCCCTAGTAGATCTGGTGGGTGACCTTTTTCAGAAGCTGCTCACTTTTCTTGGAACTTTATCAACAGGCGTTCATCGAGGACTGCAATGAATCAAGGTTCATTCAGGTAGGACTTGCATTTCTATCAAGCATCTGAGACCACCACACTCTGGAGCCATTTATATTCTCGGCTGGAGGTTTCTCAAGGAGAACTGAGTCAGTGGCAAGGTTCAGTTTTCCTCTGGGATGCCAAGAGAGCAGATTTATTATTCATTCACAGAGGGTGCTGCCCTTGGGGGCCCCAGCTTTCTGGCGGGCTCTCCTACCAGGCCCATTATGCACAGGCATTGGTTTATCAGCCCCAGGCACCAAGGACCCCAAAAACCAATGCTAGTTTCATCTGGTTTGTCAAATCCCTTCAAGGCAAAGGTCAGGCTTCAGCATTCTGCTGCTCTTACCTTCTTGACTGAGTATTCCTGACTTTCTTGCCAGATCAGTGATGCATTTAAAAGTATTCGTTATAATTTACCTAGTATTTTCTTTTTACCTAGTTGGGTTTTGTTTTACCTAGTACTTTTATTTACCTACTATTTTTAGCTGTTTGCAAGGGGAGGATCAGTTCAGGCAACTATTCTACCGTGATGCCAGAAACAGAGGTTGTCAGCCATTCCTTCTTCAAGTACCTTCTGTCGCCAGGTTTCTTTTCTCCCTCTCCTGTCCACTAAGGGCCATCCAGCAGTATGTCAAGGTTGTCAACCTGCCCTCTCTCTCTTCTTTCTCTTTCTCTGCCACCTTTTGGAACCTTAGCTTTTACTTCCCATTTATCAATTCCTTCGTTATTATTTAGTTACTCCAGTGACTTATTTTGTGTGTGTGCTGCTTATTTTCATAAACACTCTTTGTTTCCAAGATTTCTAAACAGATCCTCTTCATGCCTAATCCCTGTTTCTCAGACATGGGGCTCAGTCCCTCTTTTATCTCTGTAGTAATAAAACAAACACTCATTTTAAAAGTCTGTTAGGATTTAACTGTTTCAGCTTCCTTGGGTGTACTCTTCCACCTGTTGGGATGGGAGCCATTGTTCAAGGTGTTGGATTTTCTCATATTTTGTAATGTCAGCCTGAGTGCCTACTGTGCGTGATGGTTTTTGTTTTCCTCTCTCTGTGTCTGGCAGTTTTCTGTAGGCATGCGGAGCTACAGATGCTGAAAGAAATTTTCCATCAGCTCTTGGGGCTGAGTGGGAAGCTGGCCGCCAGTCACCACGGGTGATTCCCCCACCGTCACGGACAAGCACCCTGCTTCCTACCGCAGTCCTGGGGCGGGGGACAGCTTCTCATCCTTTATTCCCTGGAAGGGAAGCCCAGCTCCAGATCCTAAGCAGGAGTCTGGCTCTAGCCCCGATGTCCGTGGGCATGTCTGACTCCCATTGGTGTGGGAACCAGTGCTGGTGTTGCCCGCTGCTCAGTCCACCACCTGCCACTTTAGCTCGGTCATCCCTGCGGGTTTCTACTCCCTTTCTGCACAAATTACCTTCTCGGGTAGTTATGTACTTTTAGCTGAAAGCATTTACTTTATTTGTATGAGCGTGCCGGTCTCTGTGTGCATGCACTCACCCCACCGCTATGGCCTGGGTCCTCGGCACTGTCAGCCAGACCCAGGCCAATGTGTTCCTCAGACTCAGCATAGAGGGAACGACACCCTGGAATGACATAGGGCAGGGGTGGGAGAATCAAGGGGAAATCCTGAAAGAGATTCGAGAGTGTGACCATTCTGGACATGAAATTCTAGCTGGCCACAGGTATCTGGACTCAGAGTTGTGGCCAGCAAGTCACTCTGTGGAGACGCAGCTCCAGAGGAGGCTCACAGTCCTCACACCAGGACCTTGGGGACCCAGAGTCCACGACCACACTTAAAACCAAGGCTATGATACCCCAGTCTATATGAGCCACCCTCCCTGATACAGTGGCTCCGCCCCATGGAAGCCACAGTCTAGCTCTGACTAAGGCAGTGGGAAGGGGTGCCTGGGGCTGTGAAGGGTGAGAGAGAACAGCACCAGGGGCCTGGGATCTCGAGTGGCCCAGAATGCGGGCTTGCCAGGGCACAGCACACCCCTCCACACCCCAGCCTCTCCCTTCTCTCTCTTACACTGGGGGTCCACAGAGGACCCCTCCAGGCTGTCCCACAGACTCCTTCCTGTGAGGCCTGGGCCCGTGGGAGGGTTCACACTCCGTCTCTGTCACCCATGGGTTTTGACACAACTACCTTCTGGACTCAGAAGGTCAGACCTAGGCCTTTTGCACCCCTCCAGCCTCAACGTGCCCAGCCCAACAGAACGCTTACTCATACGAAGCTTCACCTCTGCCTTGCCTTCGGGCCCAAACTCACAGAGCACCAAGGACTCAGAAAATATTCACAGGTTTCTGCCACATACACGGGTCTGTTTGTTTCTATTTCTGCTTGTTTTTATTTCTAGAGATAAAAGAAAGTTGAAAATACACGTATATGTACAGACACAGCAAGCCCATGGGGTTGCTGTTGGCCTTGCCCCGGTCAGGGTGGTGGGGACCACTTAGGAGACAAGGAGCTGACCTCACCCCGGGGCCGGGGTCTCAGGCTGACGGGGTGGTCTGGCCCTGGAGGTAACAGCAAGCCCAGTCCCTGCCCTTGCCCAAGACTACGCACCCACAGGACAGGGGTGAGGGGACGTGGTGTGCTTCAGTCGGAGTCACAGGCCTCTTGCTCAGTGGTGGCACCCACTGCAGAGGCCAGGCTGTCCTCTTGGCCCTTCAGCCTCTCACCTGGATGGGGACAGACAGGAGTGGGGAGGGGCCCTGTGCCTGGGCCACCACCCAGAGGGCAGGGGTCCCGCCTTGCCTGGCCCCGCACTTACGGATCAGCTCAGCGATGGCCCTCTGGGTCCGCTTTTCTAGCTTCTCTAGTTTCTTGGCTACATCTCTCTTGAGGTCCCTGGAGCAGGCAGGTGTGAGGAGGCCGGAAGTTGAAGCCTGGTCTGGTGTCTTGGGACCCTCCCCTCCCAAAGTCCCTCCGGCATTAGGAGTCACATTCAGCTGTCTAACACCACCCGGGGAGGAGGCCAGGATGCTCCCCTCCCCTCTTTGGCACCCTCCAAAGCCCAGCATCAGCCACGCTTCCGCGTCCCACTGAGGCAGCGACTGGTGCTGCAGACCCACCAAACACGGGACGGAGTCAAGGTGTGCAAGGGTGGACGGTGTCTCAGGGTCCCTCTCTCGGTCTGGTCCTCTCGGTCACCATCAGGGAGTGACCCACCCTGGCCCCCTGTGGGTCCTGCTCCTCCTCCAGCCGTGCGCTCACCCTCGCCACCAGGAGCTTCCAGAAGTGCACACACAGCCTACTCTCCCCGCCCAGGGATTTGGAGGACACATGCCCCATGCTTCTGTTTCAACAAATGAGAACACCTTCAGTGGTGCTGTACTTGTCACAACAGAATCGCAGGTGAGGGATGCGGCCCACACCTCTGGCCCAAGGTGAAGTAGAACACAAGCCCCAGGCCACACGGCCCTCTCTCCTCTGTATCAGCCTGGTCACAGGGGCACTGGGGAAGGAGGAGCAGACCCATTTCACAGAAGAAACTGAGGCCAAAGCAGAACAGGCCAGTGGCAGCAGAATTGGGCAGCAATCTATTCCTGCCCTTCCCATCTTCTCGCCTCCATCCTGCGGCCCCCTGAGGGCCAAGGCCGGCCTTGCTCAAATGGAGCTCTCTGAGGTGGCCGGATCCTCACCCTTGCCAAAGGGACTTCTTCAAGGGACTGCAGCTCCTCACTCTCCCCGAGCCCCTCCCTGCCCTCCAGGGGTCACCCCCATGGCTGCCCTCTCATTTTCCACTTCTGTCCCGTCAGCACGTCCTGTGGACAGTGTGTGTCCACGCTGTCATCGCCCCGCTGTGAGGTGGGAGAGGCCTGGCCCGAGGGCCGTGTCCGGCACCCAGAGTGGCTGGTTGGTCCGCGCGAGGTCTGCAGTGGCAGCACTCACCAGTCAGGCTTCCGGGGCGCGAGGTTGGCCAGGTCCTGGGGAGGAAGAAACACATGTCAGGACCAGAGGGGCCCAGCTCCAGGGCACATGGGCAGCCACGGGACAGAGGTGGAAAGTGGAGGAAGGGGAGGGAGGAATGAGAGGTGTGGGAAGAGGGGGTGGACGGGAATGCAGAAGTGGAGAGAAGGAAGAGGGAAATAGCAGGAAGGAGAGCAGGTGGGGGAGGAGAAAGGGCCCCCGATGGGGCCACTCACCACTTCCTCGATGACGGGCTCCGGCTTAGCGGCCTCCAGCTGCTCCTTCACCTTCTCTTCCACTAGAGGGCGCAAGACAACAACATAGGCTGTGGGACGGGCCGCCACTCTCCCTGAGGCGCATCCCACAGACCTGGGAAAGGGCAGGCTCCCCCACCCCCACCCCCACCCAGAGATCCTTGGTTCTCTTGCCCCCACCTCTCCTAGGGCTCCCAACCTCCAGAGGCAAAGACTGCAAAGGCAGCCCTGGAGGCAGGGCCTGGGTTTCCCCGGATGAAAGCTATCCTGGGGCGGAGGAGGGCCTGCAGGAGGCAGAGGGCTAGCGTAGACAGAGCCCAACCTCCAGCCGGGAAGCGCGGCCAGTATTCTCAGCCCATCTCCCCGGCTGGGAAACGAGAGGGCTGCCTTGGTATATCTGTGAGGACTGGCTCTCCCATGATCTCCAGGGGCCCCTGGGCTCTGAGGACGTCCTCTGGGCCCTGCACTAGCTGGGGCACAGGTAGCTTTTCTTCCCATTCCACTTGGACATGTGCTTGCAAGGACACGTGCTCCCCACCCTGGAGAGGCCTGATGTCGCGTGCCTCCCAGCCATGCCCAGCTGACAGCACCCTAGGGCCCTCGGTGGGGAGAGCAGGAGGGCCTGGCCCTGTGGGGCAGGTACCAGGAGTACCTTAAAAACGATTTGCTATCTTAAAGGTAAATGTATTTGTTCATTTATAATTTGTATAATTAGGAACTGATAACAAAAGCGAAGGATAAAAACAGGGCCAGGGGTCTATGTGAGGAGTACTCCGCATCTCCAGTGGGGGGCACCTCCAGAAGCCCCCCGCTGCTGTGCGGCTCCCCACACAAGACGGGGCTGCCCGACGGCCAGGCCGCTCACCCTGCCGGCAGGGACACCTGTCCCCTCCTCTGCTCTCCGGCACGGCCACACCTGCCAGCCCACTGCTCCCTGAGCACCTGGACAGTCGGCTCTTCTTCAGGGTCTCTCACTCTGACCCCCAAGTGCCCACAGGACCCATCCTCACCCGTCCCCCTGCCCCTGCTGCCCCCTCCACGTCTCCACCCAGAGAGGTCCTCTCTGGGGAGGTGGCCCCTTCCCTCGCAGGTGCCCGAAGGCCCCCCACCCCTGCTGTCACTCAACACTGACCACTCATGCATGGCCGTGACGTGGTGCCAGAGGGTCCTGAAGGTCCAACTTCCAGCCCTGGCCCTGCTGCGTATTCTCTGAGAGGGCGACACCTGCCAAGGCGGAGCACAGGAGCTCAGCCCACCTACCCGCGACTGGCTTGGCCTGGGGCACCCTCCTCCTCTTCAGGTCCTCATCCTCTGGGACGTAGTTCCGCAGCCTGAGTTCCCTACGAAAGCAGACGACAGGCAGAGGTGGAGTGAAGCGTGTGGCAATCTCGTTCACCTCATATACCTGCAGGTCAGACTGAGGAAGCCACAAGAGCCAGTGACTTCTCGACTTTCCTCTGGTCTCTCTAGAGACGGCCTGATGAAGAGGGAGAGCATGGGAACAGAAGCACCGTAGGGACGGAGCCCCCTCTCCTCGCCTCAGCCCTGTCATCTGCTGGGGAGCAGCTGGGCGGGCTGCTCCGCCAAGGCCCTGCCCACACCGCAGGTCCTTGCCCAGAGCCGGGGCCAGGGATGCCCGGGAGCATTCACTGGCTGCCTCTCCTGGATGAGCTCCATCTGACAGCCCGGAGAACCCAGGGTCAGACAGACTGGAGTACTTTCATAAGGTCTCACAGCAGTGGCTGCAGCGTCTGACCCGCAGTCAGGGCCAGAGCTCCCGGGCTGAGTTTGTCCTACAAGACAAAGCTCGTGGTCACCCACTGGTTCTGGAAGCCTGGCCTCCTTCTCAGAGCCTGTGTGGCCTGGAGCCACTGGCAGAGGCCTCAGCTCCTGGTGGCAAGGCGTGAGCATGCGAGGAGTAGCCGGCAAGGGTGAAGGAAGGACAGGCGCGACAGCGTGCAAGGCCGGGACAGCCAGGGGAACTGCACGGGCCCCGTGGCCACAGGAGGGCTTTAAAACGCTACAGGGCAGACCCCAGGACCTCTGTGAAAGGAGGGGAGCCGCGAGGGACCAGGATTGCACACTGGGGCCGGCCAGTGACAGCGCTGTTACTTTCCTCTTCCGCCAGTCCCCTCAGGCGGGGCTGGCCTCCACACCAGGCATTTGCTGGGGTCTCCCTGGCTCAGCAGCTCATCAGTCCCCACTCCCACACAGGGAAGCTTGCCCACAGGAGAGAGGGCCCTAGGCTACCTCTGTGGGGTGGCAGAGTGACACTGCATATGGGGGCTGCTGCTTCATAAAGGCAAGGTAGACTGTGGGCCAGACCATTTTCAGCTCTGGGGAAGCAGAAGCGGCCCCGACATGCCGGCCAGATGAGCCTGGGATGCGGGTCCTCCTTCACTACGTCTTCTGAGCCCCTCGAGGGCTGCTGGCCCCTCAGAAGCCCTGGGATGGTGCTCCTAGCAGGAAGGGCCCACAGTCTGTCACCTACCGAACTCTCTGTGTGGGGCAAAACCGCCACTGAGGTCCCCCGCGCAGGCAGGCCGTGCTAGGGATGAGGCAGCAGGTGTCTGTGGCCACACATCTAGCAAGTGGCAGGGGTCTGAGTCTGGGAGCTTTCTGATGCCAGTCAGTCCCTATCACCAGCTCCGCGGCCCCCTTCTCTGCCAGGGCCCCGAGGCCAGGGGTCAGAGCCAGCACGGCCTGTGGGCAGGGAGTCTGCTGCCCACACCCAGAGCCCACGTCCCCTGGGAGCAGGACACCCACCCTGTCCTCTGCCCTCCAGCGCCTCCCGCAGGCCTGCTGCTAAGTGCCACGGAGGCACCAGCAGAGAAAGTGGGGCACGATTCACAACAGGGTGGGGAGAAAAGCGGAAGAGAAACTGGGTGTGGGCAGAAAACTGCAGGGATTAGTGAGAAAAAAAAAACCCAACACAGAACTATCGCTCTCAGAAACCAGCTCCAGGGTTTTGTAAGAAATCAGCAGGGGACCAGGGAGTCCACTGGGAACCGGACCCAGAGCTCGAAGCCACAGAACAAGTAGCCGCGCCCCAGCCGCCTTGCTGCCCAGGCTTCAGAAGACGCTGGAACAGGGAGGACACGGCAGGGGGACAGGGAGGGGACAGCACAATAGGAGAGAGCGGCACTGGCGGGGGAGCCGGCCACACAGCGGCCCCATTCCCCACAGCAGTCCTACCACCCAGTGTCCCCTGCTCCCCCTGGGAGCTGAGCACCAGTCCAGCAGTCAAGAACACCTGCGTCCCAGTCACCGTGGGACTGTCCCATTCTTGGCCTCAGCTTCCACATCTTTAAACACGAAGGCTGTGTTCAGCTAGGTCCAAGCCCTCCCTGATTAGTGTGAGATCTCTGAAGAGACCGCCTCTCATGAGCGCCCAGTTTACCTGCCCCGCCCCCCACCCCCACCCCTGAAGGGCAGGAGTGTCTGTGACAGGTCATGGGAGCACTGGGTTCTGCTCGGGGACCTGCCCTTTCCAACACAGAGCCAAGGTTTAAACCCTTGCTTCTGCAAACAGCTGAAAACACCTGACAACAGGCATATTTTTAAAAATCTACTTGTTAGCCTTAGACAAGCCCCAAGGCAATCAGGATCTGAGGGACTGCAATCGCAGGGAGGGGAAGTGCGACAGGTGAGCCTGACATTGGGCGCCTCATCTCCCCTAAAGCATTTGTCTATTCACGAGCAGAGGCTGAACAGCTGAGACCCCAAGGAGAGCTTCCTGAAATCTCATGAGGCTGAAGAGATAAGCGTTTGCTTTGGTGCAAGAAGGAAGCCTCTTCCTCAGTCCTGAGAGGGTGGGTCAGGGCACCCCGAGCCTACCTGCCTGCCCGAAGCTGGAATACATCTTCCCTGGAGGAAATCAAATGGTTCAGAACTCCAGATTATTTCTAGGATTTCTCATACACAACATCCAGGATTCAAGCCATGAGAAATAAAATAAAGATGATAGAAATATACTCACAGGAAATCCAGATATTAAAACAATTAGAAATGAAATATGGGAGCGCCTAGGTGGCTCAGTTGGCTAAACATCTGACTTTGGCTCAGGTCACTGTCTCACGGTTTGTGGGTTCAAGCTCTGCATAGGGCTTTCTGTTCTAGAGAGAAGCCTGATTCTGATCCTCTGTCTCTCTCTCTTTCTCTGCACTTCCGCTGCTCTCGTTCTCTCCCTCGCTCACTCAAAAAATACACTTTTTAAAAATTTTTTAAAAACTTTTTTTTGTTTTTTGTTTTTATTTATTTCTGAGGGAGAGAGAAAGAGAGAGACAGCATGAGCAGGGGAGGGTCAGAGAGAGAGGGTGATACAGAATCTGAAGCAGGCTCCAGGCTCTGAGCTGTCAGCACAGAGCCCGATGTGGGACTCAAACTCACAAACCATGAGATCACGACCTGAGCTGAAGTCAGATGTTTAACTGACTGAGCCACCCGGACCCCCCAGTAAACATTTTTAAAAAAAGAAATGAAATATAAAATAACTAAAATTTGGGAGCACCTGGGTGGCTCAGTCGGTTAAGCGACCGACTTCAGTTCAGGTCATGATCTTGCAGTTCATGAGTTGAGCCCCACATAAGGCTCGCTGTTGTCAGCACAGAGCCTGCTCTGGATCCTCTCTCGCCCCCTCTCTTTGCCCTTCCCCCGCTCATGCTTGCTCTCTCAAAAATAAACGTTAAAATAAAATAAAATAAAATAAAATAAAATAAAATAAAATAAAATAAAATAACAAAATTTTAAGAGTTCAGGGAGATACACCACAAGATGGAGAATTTCAGTAGCGTATCTGAAACTATAAAAATTAATCAAATGGGGGGGTGCCTGGGTGGCTCAGTCGGTTGGGCATCCAACTTAAGCTCAGTTCATGGTCTCATGGTTCGTGGGTTCGAGCCCCATGTCGGGCTCTGTGCTGCCAGCTAGCTCAGAGCCTGGAGCCTATTTCAGATTCTGTACCTCCCTCTCTCTCTGACCCTCCCCTGCTCATGCTGTCTCTCTCTCAGAAATAAATTTTTAAAAAAATTTTAAAAATTAATCAAATGGAAATTCTACAACTATAAATATAACCAAAGTTAAGAACTCACTAAATGGACTTAAGAGTAGGTTAAAACAGCGAGAGAAAGGGTTAGTGAGCCACAAATAAGTCAGAAAATATCCAGATCAAGACACAGAGGGGGGAAAAAGTTGGAAAATACAGAAAAGAATATAAGAAACCTATGGGACACAGCGAGAAGATCTAGCATACATGTAACGACAGTCCCAGAAGAAAGTTTAAAGAGATAGTAACTGGGGACACCTGGGTGGCTCAGTCAGTTAAGCACCAACTCTTGGTTTTGGCTCAGGGCATAATCTCACAGTTCGTGAGTTCAAGCCCTGCATCAGGTTCCACACTGACAGTGAGGAGCCTGCTTGGGACTCACTCTCTCTCTCTCTCTCTCTCTCTCTCTCTCTGCCCCTCCCCTAGTCACACCCATACTCTTTCTCTCTCTCTAAAAGTAAATAAAACATTAAGACAAAGAGAGAGAGAACTGAAAATTTTACAAAATAAGTGGAAAACATCAAGCCATACACACAGATTAAAGAAACACTATGAACTGCAAAGAGCACACCTGCAAATCATTATCAAACTCCTAAACACCAAAGACAAAGAGAAATTTTTAAGTTCGACAGACATCTGACCTTCAAAGGAAAAACTAAAACGGACAGCTGATTTCTCAACAGAAACAATGGACAATGGGGTAATATATAGGAAATGCCAGAAGTAACTAGAATGCTACCCCAGAATGATAAATCTAGATAAAATAAACTTCAAAGAGAAACTTGGCCAAAGAAAGTTGGCAAAACTGGTTGGGGAATCTGTTCTTTACTAAAGGGTGTGTACTTTCAATGGAAGGAAAATGACCTCCAATGAGAGCACCAAACTGCAGATAGATATCAAATGTCTCAGAAAGAATAAATATGCGGGAAAATCTCTATGAATATTGACTGCACGAAAGAGTAACAATGAATTGTGGGGTTCGAAAACGCAGCAGCAATAGCACTGGAGATGGGAAGAACCATGCACGGGGTGAGAATGTTCCGCGGTGGCCCTGACGCTGCATGGGAAATGGTACAGTGTTACTTTAAATTGGACTTCGGTAAGTTCAGGATGTATGTTGTATCCCTATGGAAACCCCTAAAAGGGAAAAGAGTATATAATTAACAAGTTAATAGGAAATGTAATGATTAGAAACAAAACAAAAATCCAAAGAACCAGAATTGAGATAAAAAAGGAAAGCTGAGAAACAACAGGTTTGCACACAATGCAGGCCCAGGCTGCCAACCCCGGGGCTCC